AAAATTGTGTAGGCCCGAAATTAAAGTGAAAACAAAAAGTGAAAAGAGAAACAAAACAAAATAGTGAGTGGGGGAGCACGTTTTGACACCGCCGTCTTTGGCAAGTTTTCGATCTTTTTTTTGGCTTAGCAAAATGCCTTCAAAATTTATAGGTTCGGGCTCCGAATGACCGAATGTTCGGGGGTCAGCCTGGGGGGCCCTGAATGTTCGGCTCGGTAATCCTGTATATATCCTGTACATATGTATATATATCATCAAACAGTGTATATATCGTCAAACAGAGCTGCCCTGTAAACCATAGGCAGAGAGGGAGAAGAGGACGACCAACGAGGGGCTGTGACAAACTGTTTCGTCAGAGTTTAACCAACTCATCAGGAGGCTGAACTCTCATCAGTCTGCATATATAGGTAAACCGTAGGCAGAGAGGGAGAAGAGGACATATATACACGTCAAGGCTACCAGCCGGGCCCCCCGGGGCTCCCGGGCGGCCCGGCCGTGCAAGGACCAAAGGTGGTCTCAGCAAAGAAAAAAACAAAAACACAAATCCAAAAATTCTGGAAAAAAAAAAAAAAAAAAAATTCCAAAAATTCTGAAAAAAGAAAAGTTATAAAAATAAACTGAACAACTTTTTCTTTCTTTTTTTTTTTTTTTTTAAAGGGAGACTCTGCTCATTCTGATTTCCACACAAAGGAAATCAACCCGGAAACAAGACACAACGAAAACAATAGTACTGGGACCATTACCCAGCTTAGGTGCAGGCCTTGGGACGCTGTGGTCTAGTAGCAGAATGGTCAGATCTAGACCGCTGCCGCTGGCCTCAAACAAAAAGGGTGCAAAACTATCTGACAAGGCCTATAACAAACCGAACACTATTCCAGAACAATAAACGCCCTACCTCCAATATCCCCTCCTATCTTCCTAAAGAAAATACAACAATCGTTATTCTAAACCGGGCTACTAAACAACTTCTATACTAAAACCGCCTAACCCGGCGGTTAACACCTTGCAGTGCCGCTCCTTCCTCAAAACATCCCCCGTAGTCTACCGCGACTAGTACAACCACATAAAAAATAGGTCGACAACTCTCCGGTGTCCCGCTGCCTGTCTACTGCGACTCCTGCAACCGAGCAACCCAGGTTGGTAATACTACTTCTAAGATTTGAACAACCACAGGGCCAAGCTCGGCTGCCCTTCGTCACCAATCGATGCAAAGGAATTGTTTAGGCACCATGTTTCTCTGAACCACATTTTTCCTTTTTCTTGTACCGCTGCGTCCTGATTTGGCGACCTTTCTTCGCCAGTGTGCTTGAATGACTCTCCTCAGATTTTGCAGCGTGGAGCTTCGGATTTGTGCATTGGACCACTGTTTCCCTTCGAAGACCTGATCGTTTCGACCTTGCCATATTATTGAAAACAGAATGGCTCTAGCCGATTGCACCATATAGGCCCATCCTTTTGTGAGAGGGGTATCGTTCGGAACCCCGCCCAATAAGGTCCACTCCTTGTTCCACTCAAAGGATTGACCTGGTAATATACTAATCCACCACTTCCAAATCCGAGCAGAGGCAGGGCAGTCCCACCATAAGTGGATCGTAGATTCGAAGGCCCATTCACACCGGAGGCACTTCAGGTCGATCTCCAACTGTCTGACTGCTAACCACACCGCAGAGGGGGTGGCCGTCATAGATAATAGCCACAGAACTGAGGCTTGTCTTTGGCAGGCAATCAGCTTTAATTGTTTCCAACAGTTAAACCACCAGTACCTACCGGTTGTCAAGGCCCGTGGCTCAGCCTACCAGTAGGCCGGTCCTTGCCGAGCCTCGGACAACCGGTAGTACACAACAGCAAAACAGAAAGAAAAGAAAAAAAACAAAAAAAACGAGGACAACAACCTGAAAAAAAAAACAAAAAAAAAAACGAAATCACGATTCAGACGTTTCCATCGAGAATGATTCTTCCTCGATAAAGAGGAAGATTCATGAGAGAGAGAGAGAGAGAGAGAGAGAGAGAGAGAGAGAGGGCGTCAGCCAGTG